CAGAGGTGGCTGTCAAGGTAAGCGGAAGGGTTGCGACAGCATCTCCGGTGCCAGGCTTTCAAAATGAAACTCAGCACGTTTGGCAGGATTCCTTATTCTTTCTGCAGCTAGACAACAAAATACACATCTATTTCGCCCATTGGGGCAAATAACATTTTCAATTTAGGCTGCCTAATAATAACACATCATCTTGTTTTAACTCAAAATCTGCATTTTGGTCACAGATGCTCGGCAGTGATCACTTTTTGTGAATGTTGCTTTATATTAAAGTTAGACTGTCTATCCCGTTTAGTTTGCATTTGACAGCCCTGAAAGTAAAGCAAAAGGAGAAAAGTAACTGCAGGAAGTTAAGGGAATTTCATTTCAGTCATGGTATCTGCACTTTATTTGTTTTAATATGAGCCTTTAGTGTGAAAGACAAAATCGCTACACTTCCTGTCTGGTTCTGTCTGATTTGATGCAGCTCCAGACCTCAGCTGCTCTTTGTGTTGTTGTGGTTTAGGTCATTGACGTCATGTGTTGGTTTGTGTGTGTGTGGGTGTGTGTTATGTGAATGTGACATCATATGTTTGTATTATACTGTTAGATACTACAATAACATATTAAAAGAGTGAAGGTTAAAATGGAGTTACTACATATTCACCTGAAACATGTGACCCCTCTGCAGCTCTCTGGAGTTTTAGCTTCTTTCAGTTCTTCATTTTCCCAGCGATACACAACAAACAGGCAAAGAAGCAGCTAGTGAAGAAAGAATATCTAGAAGCTGCTGAGCTACATATTCTTCTCAGGAGTTTAGAGGATATAAGACTTCCATTCAGGAAATGGACTGCAACTTGGCACCTTCCAATAGAAATGCTGACCTGTTTTGCTGGTTGTGTACAGACAGCTGTTAGCTACAGTTACACTGACTGGAAACCAGGGCTGTTCCTAACAGTTTGGGTTCCTGCCTCCTACTGGTCCAAATGAGGTTCTGCAGTTTTATTGTGAATAGAACAAACAAACCAACACAATATTTGTAATACAACCACAAGGTGTTTATCACTATTTTTATGTTATTGGAGATTGTAAAATCATTTACCAGTTTAAAACATTTTAAAACAAGAATAAAAAATACACAATACAAATCAGAGTAAAACAAAGAATTTGGCTACATGTGACCAAATGCATGTAGATGTAAATGTTAATTATGCCTCTTGCCACTGTTTGTTATTACTAATCATTGCTTTATACATCAGTTTTTGCTGGTAATCATGCATTTTCTTCATGTTCTATATTGAAGAGGACCTCTAATTAACACAGCTTGGTAGTTTCTGGCACTTGGTGCCATGAAGTTGACTGTGACAGACCTAATACTGGGAGAAATAAGACCTACAAAGGAGCATTAGGATCGGTTTTAGGTTAGGCTTTGGATAAGGGTTAAGGATAGGCATTTAGTTGTGACTGTTGAGATCAGGGTGCAAGGTTTGGGAATGCATTGTGCCAACCAGTGTCCTCACAAATACAGTAAGACCAGTGTGTGTGTCAGCCTAATTGGGCTGAATTTCACTGAGCAACAAAAGATCAGGCTCGAAAAGTCCAGGTCTGGTTTGTACAGGCTTTGCTTTGTTGTCCCTTCACCTCCGTTTGTTCTCTTCTAATGCTGTGTCAACAGTTATTTCTCTCTCTCTCCCTCTCTCTCTATTTGTGTTTCTTGCGGTCTTGCTCTCATTTTCCCTCTCTTCTTCTGTGTGACCCATGAAATGCTTTTGCCCCAAATGAAGCACGGTTACTCCAACGGCTCAGAGGTAGGGAAACCCCTGTGGCCAAAACCTGCGAGGGTCTTTACACTCCCATATACCTCTTTTTCACACACAAGCTGCAGGAGCCTGGGGGGTGTCCACAATGAACCTCAGACCTTCAGCGGTGACTGTTCTCACTGTCTCCAGTTATGGGAAGTTTGTTGTGTGCCTCAGCCCTGAGCCTGGACCGGAGCTTTTGGCTGAATTTTTCTGCTGACCCTGAGGCAGGATAGAGTTTTGGGATAGGATGATCGAGCAGCAAAGCACTGACGATGGAAGCAGTGGTGGTCACACTGATGTGCTGAGCGCAGAGAAGCTGGAGTGTAAGATCTGCTATTGCACGTACAACTTGGGGAGTCGAAGGCCAAAGGCACTTGAGTGTTGCCACCATCTGTGTGCCAAGTGCTTTGCTAAGATCCTGAACCTAGGTGAGTCACCTCCCAGCGCTGTGGTGTGCCCGTTCTGCCGCTGTGTCACCAGACTATCAAGGGAAGCATTGAGCAACCTACCAGATGATATCAACCTGGTGGCGGTGCTGGCTTTCCAAAGCAGGAACCAGAGGAACCTGCACTTCCACCAGGAGGTGACCACAGAACCGCTCCTTGGCCCCAGCCGGCTGAGCTCGTTGATGAGTAGCAACCAACCTGTGACATCCTGTTCTTCATCTTCCTCAGCATCTTCCTCCACCACCTACTCCTCCCTCCCGGGCTCCCCTAACTTTGTGGTCATCACCATCATGGAGCCTTCATCTGCCTCAACCCAGGATCTCCACCTCCACCACCAGTCCCATGAATCGCATGCATCAAACCAGGGCTTCCGCTCATCCAGTCTGGACTCCATGGAGTTGATCACACAGAGGTGGACGGTGTTGAATTGTGCAGCCCTCCTGTCCCAGACCTTGGCCCGGGCACTGGTGTGGGTGCTGGGGCTGCTGTACTTCAGCTCGCTTCCCATGGGGGTTTACCTGCTCATGATACAAAGGACCACACTCGGGGTAATGCTGGTGAGCCTGGTTCCTGCCAGCCTTGTCATGGTCATGGTTTATGGATTCTTCCTGTGTATCTGCCATGAGTTCTGGGACATGCCTCCGTAATGAGACCAGATGGGTGATAGTTTGCTTTGAGTATGCTTGACAATAGAGCTCCAGAATTCACTAATGGGGATGTCACTGTTACCGAGAATGTGAACTTTTACTTTAATGGCATAAAAATGCTAATTTTCTTTACTAGAAAAGAGAGTGACAGCATTGTGTACATTACAAATGGAGTTCACCACTACAAGTACACGTTAATATCTCCATGTTTAGTTTGACAGCTAGCTATTTACCCAGCAGAGCTTACATCATGCATAATACTGTTGTAGTGAGAAACCTGAAGGAACGTAACTGTCTCTGACACCCCTGGATCTAATTTGTTATCTAACAGTGGTTCTCAGCCTTTTCAGATTTAAACACCAGAGGGTGCTGTAACAGCTTCCCTTCTCCTTTCTCTTGGGACGTCCTGTCCCGTCAGTTTAAATCCAGTGTCTTCATTCATTCAGTTAGTGAGTGCCTGTGTTAAATGAGTCTGATGACCCTCATAATAACTGATGATACCCCACTGCTTCACAAAATTCTCTGTCTCTATGTGTGTTAGTTAAAACAGAAACTCCAGTTTTAAAAGAAATAAATTGAGGGGATGTTTCTTTGAAAATCTAATGAAACTGTCTATCTCTCATTGTTTGCTACTGTCCCTGGATCAGAACAACCTTCTGTTTCCCCACTCTTTGTGTGTTGTGTATGTATCAGTTGGCAATTAGCAATTTATTTATAAATCAACCACACAAAATGTAGGACTATGCATCATGTAAGCACAAAACAACCTGGCATAATATAACTAGATGTTGTTCCTCAAGAATAAATATCAATGCAGGCGTGCTTTACTAAGAATGAAGTTTTCTCAAAAAAAGCACATAAGTTCACTCGTGACATAACTTCAGAAAACAATCCTGATCGGTGGAAGTGGTGAGATTATTTACTCGGGTAAAAGCACAAATTCATTAATGTAAAAATGATTCATTTCATATTCCAGCTGTAAAAATCACACACTCTACAAAAACATAGATCCTGATATTAATATGTTGTTATAAATTACATGATTAGATTGTTAATACTGATGCATCAAGGTGTCATTTACAGTAGTAGCTGCTTGAGGTGGAGGTAGCTTTAACTTCTTTATTTCTTTATGCAAACAGTTGTTACAGTAGAGGGGTGTGAGATGATTAATGAGGAAGGGAAGAATATAACACAAATGTTACATCAATCGGTATTTAGTAAACCTTTCTCTCATCTTTGCTTTTATGTAAAATGATATAGAATTTTATCTCTTTCAGCTTCCTATAGTTATTTATATTTAACCATCTAAGAAGTTCATCAATCATGCAAACTACTGAGACATCTGAAATTTGTCAAGTTGTAGTGGGTCACAAAAAAGGTTGTCAACAACTGGTTTCATCTGTAACAACATGTTGGTTTTTATAAGTTCAGTTGTTTTCTTTGTTTTTCAATGTAAGATCTTACACTGAAAAATAAGTGGTAACTATAGCTGTCAAATAAATGTAGAGGAGTAAAGAGTAAACAAGTGTAAAGTTTCAATTAGTAAAAATATTCAAGTCGAGTACACCTACCTCAAAACTGTACATAAGTAAGCAAATGTGATTTCCTTCACTGGTCTGGAATCCAGGACTTTAACTTGCACTGCACTGATATTAAAATGTATTATTTCCGGTTTCAAATATTTGTTCCGTCACTGTCATGATGCTGTTGAACTCCACTCGACCAGTCATCCAAGCCGGGTAAAAACAAACTGAGGATCTGGTCCCAGTACACTGTGTCCTTGTGCTGCTTCTGCAGTACGTCTCACTGATGATAAACAGTCCAGGCCTTCTACCAGTGTTTTCCACAGGACTCTGAATCTGAATCTGAGCGAGTGCTTGCCTACAGGGAGTGTAACATCATTTCAGATTCCTTTTTAGTGATGCAATGAACATTCCCACACGTCAGTATGAGGGACATTCTTGTGCTGTTTGAGCCAGACAGGAGAGAAAAATCTCCCTTCAGCCTGGAGTCTATAGCTGGAAACAAACACAACACAATAAAAACATGATGCTTTAAAACTGCTTTTATTCTAGTGCATTCCTTGACAATTGTAAATAATATGTCTTGTTCTAAATTTGATAAGTTTGAAATTTGTTTAGTAAATCACAGTGCAGCACATTAAGTGAAATAATGTGCTTTTTTTGCAGACCTCCAACCCTGATTTGCAAAAATTACATTTATACAGAACTAATTTGTAACAAAAGGTACATTCTGCTGCCTGGACTGTTTTTTTATAATAACACAACAAAGATAAATTGATAATTAATGTGTGTGTTAAATAAAAACTGAATGTATGTGCCAGAGTATTTCATTTGGTTTCCTACAGTATTCACAATAACATATCACAGAATGGCAACTTTTCTGTATCATTAAATCATAACCTCAGTCTTTCCATAACCTTAACCAAGTGCTGTGATTGCCTTGACAGAAATGAAAATGTTAGTTATTCTTCAGCTGATACAAGCAGATGTCATAACAAAATCAAATACTACACAGTGTCACTACACATTTTGCAGATATATTCAACGTGGACACTGTGAATTGAAAGATACATTCCTTACAAATGCTTATGATAATAAAACCATAATCTGTGCCGCATTATGTTTGCTTCAAAACATATCTGTTATTTCACATGGAAGCAGTTTCTGGGAAACAGGGTTGGTGTCTGAGGCCTTTTGCAAAATCTGAAGCTGTCATGTGGTCTATTGCGTGCCCTGTACCTGTTACCTAAAGAAGAACTCCATTAATGTTACACATCAAGATGTGTTTATGGGTCTTGGGAAGTATTACTGCATTTGTGAATAAAGTTAGCGTGTGAAGTCTGATCAGTGTATTCAGGTGATGTCACTTGTCAGTATCAGCTGGGTCTGAAGCCTCAAGATGAAAACAATCAGGTTGTTTGGAGTTAGAAAGAAGGGACCTTCCAGACCTCTGTGGGCTGCTCTTTGTCTCTGTTTGAGGCTACAACTCAAGACTATATTATCTGCTACTAGCATAACACTCAAATCCCCCAGTTACATTGTGGATAATGCTGGTGCCAGGTTTGGTCTTGGAAGAATGTGTAGAATAAAGAAGATGATATCACTGGTTCTGTGATCTGGTGAGTACTGTTTTAAACACATCAAGATACCTTCATTTTGCCCTTTGGCCCCCCAGCAAGTAAATTTGACCCTGTAAACAGAAAGAATAAACATGCTTAAGATATGTGAACATCAGGCATTTTTTATTGTTGTAAAGTAAAAAAAATGTCCAAGGGGGATTAATAAAGTATAATACATTTAAAAACCTGTACAAGCAAAAACATTCTTTATCTAGATATTACAGAAGGTCAGTGGGAAAGTATGAATAGACTGAATTAGTTCTGCAACAATCAAGATTAAAGGATAAGGCCAGTTATTTAGTATTTTAACACAACACTCCACATACAGTGCCTAAAACTAACAATGAATCACCTCAACTAACAGTTCATGTTTGTCACTCTGTCAGTCCTAGATTAGTCTGTGCCATAGGCCTCCACTGCTGTTCAAAAGGATTAAAAACATATCAGTAAAATACACAGCTACACTGGGTGATATATTTATTTATTATGAAACACAAGACCCAAATATTTGTTAAGAATATCCAGAGATCTGGTGCATGGGAAGCTGACTCTTGCTTACAGTAGTAGTAGTAGTAGTAATAATAATAATAATAATATTAATAATAATTAAGAATATGTGATGAATATAAAATACCGATGATGACTCATTGTGTCTACCTTCTAAACCTAGTGATAAATTAGTTCTTGTCCTGTTGTAACACATCACCGTCTGTCTGGTGTGCATACACTGCTCATTCTGTGTATTTACTTCTCATTCCCATAAGAAGTGAGTGGAGTTGCTCTCAGCCAATCAGATTTGCGGATAACGCTCCGACAACAAACAAAAGATCGAGGCTAGCTGAGCTCATTATATTTTATCGCTTCGTCTAGCCTAAGGTTAACGTTATTTGTTGCCTTGCTCCCATCAGCGACCCGCTCATCTCGATTTTAACTACTTTCTTTAGTTCCTGGGAGGCAGACAGTCTTCTTCTGGTGTCTCTGTTTGTGGATTTGTGTCAGCTAATGTAAACCTTAGCCATTTCACCGATCGCTCTGCCTTTGGTGGGCAAACTAAATGCGTTAGCTAGGTTAGCTTCTCGGCTAACCAGCTCTGGCTGCCTCTCTACGACCAGCGAAGCCAGTTAGCTTAGCCTGCTAGCTAGCTTTGCTAACACCACCCCCCATCCCCCCCACCCCCTTTAAAACTTGACACTGAGTGACATACGTGGCAAGTGGCTTTGGCTTGTTGCTAACAAGCCATTTTAATAAAACTCGTGTCGTAGCCATGTCTGGACAATCATCGGGCTGTGGATTTCTGATGTCGGTTGTTGTCCACGGTGACTCGGCTCTGAACGAGCAGGAAAAGGAGCTCAACCAGCGACTCCGACGGCTCTATCCAGCCGTTAATGAAAACGAGACTCCGCTCCCTCGATCCTGGAGCCCGAAGGACAAGTTCAGCTACATCGGGCTTTCTCAGAACAATCTTCGTGTACACTATAAAGGTATGGCATTAAGACACTCTCAAGTTTAGCACTTTATTGACCAATGCTAACGCCAGAGTTGGCTGCTAACGTTAGCTTAGTTTGACGGTTAGCTTAGCGGGTTAAAGCCAGTTGCCGTTGTGGCTAAAAACAAAGCAGGCTAAGCTAGTAGCTTCATCAACAACAAGGCAGAGGACATCTTGCAACCCGACCAGCTGGCGAGGTGTAACCACAGCCAAAATTGACCTACTAGCTCATTAGCTTCCGTGCTAACGTTACCCAGTTTGTCAGCTCTATGTATTGCCACGGTTAAGCTTTGACGGTTGATAACCTGTCAGGCTAGCTTATGAAATGTAATAAATCACATGTAAAGATAGAACCAGTACACCTAAGGCTGTTTAGGCTCGATGTGAGTCACATATTCGTATAACGTTAGCCAAAATGGGCTAGGGCTAATGTAGCATTATTAAGTGATTAAATGACAGGAAACATACGGTGTCAAATACATTGATTAGTCTTAAGTTACTCAGAAGAACTGGCAGGCTTCCAGTGAAGTAGGTATTGATGACAGGACAGACATAGTTTGTTGCTGCTAATGATTATTAAGTGTATTGTCTGACATTCGGGTTGGACTAGTTAGTTGCTTAGCAAAGCTATCAAGAGGGTTTTTGGTGCAGGCCTACAAGGGAAAAGTGTAACCGTGCTTCCTGGGTGTGTTCTGCTGTTCTGGGTCTGACCGGCTCTCTACGCACTCTTCCTGGTTACAACTAGAACATTCTGTGTTTGCACCAGTAAACTCACCTGAAAATCTTATAGCACATACAAGTAACGAGTTGAGTAACTTTAGGATTTAAACTTAGACATTTTCCTATGAACCACTGAAAGTAGAAGGCAGTTCACTACTCTTAAAATGACACATCTCCTCAGCAGTGTTGAGCTGCTAATTTCAGGCCATTTTTGATAAACAACATTTTGCTGTGACAAAAGTCCTAGTCTTTTTCTGCTCATTGGGTGGAGCTTGAGTATAGAGACTAAATATACAAAGAATTTGTCTTTGTATGTTTGTCATAATAAATGTCACTTGTTTAATGATCTCGCAGTATTAAAACATGCCAGTATTTCTCATTGAAGCAAAAGCTGTCCCACAATATCAGTACACAACAGAGCCAGGTCGGTATGATGCAGTGTGACGGTAATTTCGCATTAGTCCAGCAAAAATGCAACTGCCTGCTGTGATTTAATGCAAGGGGCTGTGTTGGTTGTTTTGGGGGGTGTGTGTGTATGTGTTGTAGTCTTTTACAAAATGGCCACATTGTGATGAGTCGACGTGAATGGCTTCATTCATGTTTCCAGCCCGTGAGTTTTCATTGTGTTTTGGTTAGCCATGCTGCTAACGTATCCCACTCTACCTTAGCATCCACTCTACCACCAGTATGGTGGCACTGATAGGTTAAAAAAACATGGTTTAACATCCAGTACTAATGCTGCATGGTGTGTCATTATGGTGAATTAACTGTGGGCCAGATTTGACAGTGAATAGCAGGGAATACACATGGTAATAAGGTAAACAAGGTTTTCTTCCTGTTGGCGTCCATGTCCCAATCATCTCCCCTACATGACTGGTCAATGCAGTGCCTTTGCTGGATGATGTCACAGTCTGGTTTGTCAAAGTTGAACCAGATCTTGAACTTTTTTGCTGCATGGGGTTGCGTCCGTTTGCCGGAGCCACCTGTGGCGGCTATAGTCAACATAATCCCCCATAGAGTTGAATGTGGAGCACTGTGTTTTTTCACACCTTTAAAACTTAGTGTGACCATGGTAAAGCTCATGCGCAGTTATAAGGTCTAAAGAAACTCATTTGAAATCATACAGGAGAGAAGCCAGGCAGTTGAGTTTGTGGCAAAACCTTTGACAGTGCTTGCATATTGCTGTCTTTTGCTGTATATGTTAATTCGCACTCAGGAAGTAGAAGTGAAATGACATTCATTACAAGATGATTAGTTAAACATTTCAAAATGCACCTACAGTCTTTTGCATTTTGTGACTTAGAGTAATGTTCTTGTGAACCCAATATCCTGTGTTGTCTTGTGAGCTAAGTGTGTCATCACACCCCTAGCCATGATGAACAGAGCTGACATGATAATCAGTTGATTAGCAGCTGTTTTCGTAATTAAGTCAGTTTTTAAGCAGAAAATACCAGTACTTCAATGCAAATATTTGCTCATTTTCTTCAATGCTGAAAATAAACTCAAAACCTTGGAGTTTAGGACTGTTTATTGGACAGATTTAGCATTTTGCAGTTTTCTGACATTTTATGCACAATATGGCAGATAAAATAAATATTATTAGAGCTCCAGGAATGACATCAAATCCATTCCCATCTGTCACTATTCAACAACTGGCCAGACAAAGCCCAGTGTATTAAATACACTGCTACACAGCTTTCAGGCTTCATTGGAGAACATATATTAGATCAGACTAAATGTGTTGGTCATATCTAGCCTAACAAAAGATAATCAGACCTTTTTAACAACATATCGGTAGACTTCACCCCTGAATAACCTATAACATAATGGAATAATCATGAAACGGCTAGCCCAGATTCCAGTTTTATAGCCTATAAGGCAATACACAAACCTTATCTACAAAATGGGAGTGACTTCTGCTTCTTTCACTGTAGCTAATTTTAGTATTGCTAACTGTTGCCCTGTAAAGGGCATCACCTAGTGGCACACCTAGGCACTACAGTGCTTTGTCTGACAGCATGCCCTTGTCTTATGTTTTGTCGGTTAATTTTAATTCATTAAAATATTTATAGAAATGAATTGATAAGTTAATTTTGATATCCCAAACTAGTTGCCTACTTATTATATTCACTGCAAACTGGCTGTTAATTCACATCTGACCCCTAATGTTAGTTCCCAGTAATGACCCTGAATATTGCTATTGACAGTATTGCTTTGTAGCTGTGTGAGTTAAAGTTGGATATAAAGGCTGACAGGATGAATTGCTTCACAGAAACCAGCAGGTCTAGATTCACATCATCTTAATCTTATAGCTACTGAGTACATCTTGTACTCGGGTTATTCATAAGCCTGTCATCTAGTAAAATGGCATTTTATATTTTGGGGGCACAAAGCCAATATTCCTTTGTATTAACCTGATGGTCATTTTGTTTTTGTCTTGTTTTTTTAAATCTCACAGCAAGTCCCTCCCCACATCCCTTCCCAGCACCTTGTTTCATATGGAAAATACATAAAATTATAGCAAAAACCCTGTACAGAAAGTTAATTATGCAGTACAAAATACTATGATTATACAATTTGCCCTGAGCAAATATTGGGTCAGAACTTCGATTGTAAAACCTTTGTTACAGACTGTCTGCAGAAGGCCCATGTCTTTTCAGATTCAGTTGAAGACAGCTTCACATTATCTACAGTGTAGTTTCTTGCAGTGTAGGGATGTAACTGCCAGGTTGAGTCAACATTCCCTGATGGGAGAGGTATGCTGTCTGCTTCTTACATGCCTCGTTTGATCTTACTCTGTCACTGTGTCTGTTGGGGTTTGGTCCTTCCACTGCCACTCCCGCCAAAATCCACATACAACTCTCAACTGTACTTTGAGTAAAGTGAATTAAAATTAATTATGAAATCAGAAGTCTAAACTGATATCAGTTGATAATCATCAGTTGTCTGTCCTCACATTCTTTATTTCTTTTCATTTATGATTATAGAATGGTCCATGAAGTACAGTTGTTTTTGGCGGCCTGTTTTAATTTTAGTTTTAGTCTAGTCTGTGTGTGAAGCTGTCATTTTAGTTTTTATTAGTTTTAGACACGTTCATACTCTTTATAGCCTAGTCAAGTTTCAGTCAACTGAAAGTCTGATCGTTTTAGTCTTATTTTAGTCAGAATTATCCATGATTATTTTCATCTAGTTTCAGCCGACGAACTGATGCAGCCCCTGAAGCGAGACACAGGAAACAGAAATACTGCAAAATAATAATAAATACGTGACAAAACAAGACGAAATAACGTTATAACATTTTGTCTCGTTTTGGTCAAAGAAAATGAAGAGACATTTTAGCATAGTTTTTATTTTGTAAACCACATTTAGTCTTGTTTTTTCGTCAACAATATTGCATTATACATTTAATTATAGTCATTGTCACATGATCAGCATTTACGTTGCGTCTCGTTTTCATCACGTGATAAAGGTTCGTTGACGATTAGTCATTTTCGTCGATGAAAGCAACACTACCATGAAGTTTCTACCTGTGGTAACCACTCCCTGTTGCTCTTGTCTTTGTGTAATGTTTATGCTTGAAGGTCACGGGAAAACCCCCAAGGATGCAGCGTCCGTACGGGCCACCCACCCCATCCCAGCCGCCTGTGGGGTCTACTATTTCGAGGTGAAGATCATCAGTAAAGGCCGAGATGGGTAAGGAGACAGGACAAAGCACAAAGTTTCAGGAAGACAACACTTGATTTACAACACTTTCAGCTACTGGTCTAAACATTAAGTTTGGATAATCACAAAAACCTTGTTGATCCATCGAGTTTTCATTGGTCCCACCAGCAGGTCAACATTTCTCATCTAACACATAAGTGAATAGCTGCATTCCTATAAAACTGAAACTTCCTTTTAACATGACTCAGTGTTGCATGTGGACATCCTTACATGCAAATGTCTATGTAATCCTAAAATCTGTAATGGTTTGAGTGATAGTTGTAACAGCTCATATACAATTTGTTTTATTTCTTCACTTCTTTTATATATATATATTTTTTTGTACTGTGCTTCTGATTTTATGGCTGAATGAATAAAATTAACTTAAAATGTCAACAGAGGAAATGTTAGCATATTAACATGCTAAGTGTAACTTGCTAATTATTACAATGTTACCTTGCTATCTCTTAAACCAATATCTGGATGTTGATGTACATATTCATGTTAGAATTCGGCTCATAGCACAGCTGAGAGCTAAGCGGCAGCTGCAATAACATCCCCGAGAAGAGGGTGTTGTTGTACACACTGGAAGACAACACTGGGTTTATGATAAACTTCACCCTCATATTATTGACTTTAAATCTTGTTAATTGTACAAATGGCCTTCAAAATTAATTATCACAATGAATAAGCTGCTCATGTGGGATGTCATACCACTTCTCACAGAGAGAGGAGTTGGCCAGAGGTTAAAAATTAGAAACGGTACAGTGCTTGTTAACTTGCATCAGGATTTTATTCAAATCAACATTTATTGATAGACAAATTACGTAGTCTAATAGTTGTTATGTAGTGTATTTGTGTTCAGAGGGAGAACTGAAGCAGTAGGAAGCTGATTATCTTTGGTAGATCAAAGATCATCTGAAGAAAAAATGACAACCCACAGGAAATTACAGTCCTCTTCTCAGTCTATATATGGGGCATACTGTCAGTACCTATTCTAAATGAAGGCAAAGTCTTGGCCATATTTAGTTAAACGGGCATTACTAAATGGAAGCAGATTTTTATGTAATGTTTGCTAACTCTTTACAACCCCAAACTGTGAACCGTTCTCAGTCAGATTATGTAGTCATTAGTCAAGGTTATTTTAAAACATGCCCTGTGTAACAAATACAAGTCTTATGAACAAGAAACTTGATTAAAGTCTTCAAGGGGCTAGAGGTGAATTAGTAATCCTGAACTGAGACTTCAGTCATCTGAAGAACCTCATCTCATAGCTGATCTCACCACTTCACTGGTTGTTTTCATCCAGACCCTTGTTGACACAGGATGTCTGACTGCTTTAATAGTTTTCACATTTTCTCACATTTATTTGAGTTTCTTATCAGTATGTACTGTCTGTAAGAGAACAGGAAGTTAAATGCTATCTGATTATAAAATTTAATATTTAAACATTTCAGCCACGCTATCAGCTGGTCTGTCAGAGAGAAATACATGTGTCTCTTCTAGGGCTGAAACTAATGCTTATTTTCATTATAGAATAATGTGCTGATTATTTTCTTGATTAATTGTTTGGTCAGTAGAAGCTCAGAAAACAGTGAAACATGCCCACCACATCATCTTAGAGCAAAGGGTAACATCACTAAATGTGTTCTTTTTCAGTCCAGTAGTACAAAACTCAAAAATATTCCATGTATTATCATAAATGACAAAGAAAAGCAATGAGTCTTTATATTTGAGAACCTGGAACGAGCAAATGTTTGGCGTTTTTGCTTGAAAAATGACTTAACTGCTTAATTATCAAAATAGTTGCTGGTGAATTTTTTTTGTCTACTAATTAGGTGATTGATTAAAGATGAAGCATTGCAACTCTAATCTCTACAATAGTGGATGGGTTTTCTAAAACAATTTGCACAGACCTTCATGACCAAAAGGATGAATCTGAATCTTTTGGTTATCACCTGACTTTTCATTTAGCATCTTTAGCAGGTCAAAATTTTCAGTTCCTCAGTCTGTCACTTAGAAGATAAACAAGCATAAAGTTTTAATGCTGAAGCCGAGCTACAGTTGAGATATTCCATTTCCAAAACGCAGAGAATCAGTAGAGACAAACTGTGTGTTGTGGAGCTAAGATGTTGACAGCTTTGATCTAAAGAATACACAAAACATGGCCCACAAGATAGGTTGAAGTCGCTTTCTGCACATGCACCTTGGCATCTAGGGCACTGTGTCAAGCATGACCAGAGCTCAGTTTGCATACTGTTGGTGCCTCTAGTGATGAAGAAGTAAGAATAGCAAAGCTGTCCCTCAGTTGTTCATCCATCCAACTTTTCTTTTTTCCCCCTTTGGACTGCACAGAGTAATGCAACCTCAAGCGTGACTGTAGATAATCATATGGAGGATGTTTAGGATGTTAATCAGCAAGTCATGATTAATGGCTGGTCACTTACTCTTCTGTTTACATGTTCAAATGAACTCTCCACTGCATGTTCCACAGGTACATGGGCATCGGCCTCTCAGCTCAGGGTGTAAACATGAACAGACTCCCTGGTAAGATTACGTGTGTGTGTGTGTGTGTGTGTGTGTGTGTTCGTGTTCAGTACATTTGCCTTTGGGTGTGGTGAGAAGAATGTCTCTTTGCATGTGTCTTCTGTATATTATACCAGAGATTTCTGTCTTTGTGTTGGTGTCATTTTGTCTGAACGTCCTGTCAGGTAGCGATTGGCCTTAGTTTCACTGGGTGTAGGTGTGACTCTGATTTCAGTGTGCCATCACCATTATCTGATTTACATTTGCATGTTTTCTTATTGTTGGAATGGCTCAAATACATTTATGTATAAATAGTTTGTGTGTTATGTACTGCGTGTTTCTTTATGTGTGTATTTTTAAGAATTTTATCTATATTGTAAATTTCTGATGCAGGTGAGTGACTAACAGACTTTTGGAAGACAACTCGTTCAGTAAAGAGATATTTCGTTGGCCCTCTGCACCTTTGGGAACTGAACATGAAAATTAGTCAAATTTAAGATGAAATAGCTGTTTGGGTACTGAAGTGATGCTATGCATATTTTTGATAGTTTTATTCTTGTAATGCATATCACTCACTGGCATCCTGGGACTGGACACGGGGGGCAGTCCCATGATACAGGTATATCTGCATTCCCATTATTAGAAACAATCACTGTCTGTGTGCAGTTGTGCAGCACATTATTCTATAATGAAAATAAGCATTAGCCCCTTGGTTATGTTTTCTTAATACATCTATGGTAAGACCTGCTATTTCCTCAGCATATCAGAATTGTTATTGACCACTTTTTTGACAGTTTGACTTCAGATACTGACATTTTGATCAGATTATTGATGCTACATTGCAGAACTGTTCATTTTGTTTGCTCACAGACAGTGATTACGTCTTAGATTAGATTCAACTCTATTGTCATTACACATGTACAAGGCAAAGTACTTGTACATGTGGGAATACAAATTTTTAAGAACTTTTTCTAATTCGTGTAGTTTAACTTGGTTTAAGTAAAAGATGATTTAATGAAATCCTTTACAACATAAATAAATAAATGTAAGTAAGGAGGCTTTAGCTTTGGAACTGCAGTCAGCTGTTTACATTGTCGGACAGTGATAGAAGCTGTGAGCCCAGTGCTCATCTGAAGTTATCAGGCCAAACAGGAGCCCTGACACCCTTTCACCATTCTGATAACTGGACCCGCCCTCGAGGTTCAGGCTCTCCATCCAAAGATAACAGGATGCCCAGAGCAGACTGATGCCAGACTGCTGCAGAGCTGAGTGCTTTCTTTCAGTGTTGAATGTGAAAACGGCAGGATTAATTCTGCAGCTCAGCATTAACTCACAGGATCCTGCCACTTATTGTAGTGTGTAACATTGAAACAGCCCTGAGGCCATCCACTTGGCAGCAGGGGTGGCCCCTTGCCCTTGGGACGCAAGGAACAGACAAATACTCCCAGCACACATGACATTTTTCATAAGCATTTAAAAATATTGCTTTCTTTTTATGCTCACAACAATTCATATTTACTCTGTAAGTAAAGAGTGCTTAAACAAAATGGCTTGCAAATGCCAAAGAAAGAAATTAAGGTTTGTGTTCAAACTGACATGGCTGTGCTCTTCTGCAGTTAACCGTTCTAGAGCAAGCACAAATTATAAAACCAGTTAATGTCATAGAAACTCTGATCCGATTGTTGATGCTATGTTACACAACTGTGCACACAGACAGTGATTGTTTCTGATAATGGGAATGCAGATATACCTGTATCATGGGACTGCCTCAGGTGTCCGCTTGCTAACGCTCAGTATGTTGCTGTGGCTGCATACACGTTATAAAATGAGAATGTTTCAGGTTCATGGCCCTCATTAGCAACCGCTTCATGCTCAGGTCACTGTTACCAAAACACCAGTCTTTACTGAGGGTTTAGAACAGTGACACAGCATTTCTATTTTTGTATCTGTTGCATATCTACGGCATGAACACCAAAGTGTGAATTTCTGACCTGGGGTGTGTTTGCAGTGTTACACACATTTTCCACACAGCACCACTAAACATGTTTAAGGCAGAGATTGGGCTGCAGTGAAACTCTCCACTGATATGCAGAACTTGCATCAGACATCTTGGTTGACATCTATAGTCCAGCTATTAATTTTGAATGTTTTTTTTAAATAAAAATGGTCAAATTAATTTTAAACTCTTATTCATTGTTTTGTTCAATCACACATTCAGGCTGTATTATATTTCAGGAGGCTTGGTCACAGCCCTTGCATCCTCAGGAGTCTACAGTTTGTATTATAGGACACAAAACTGGCTGTAAGAACAATGAATAGTACAGAGAAGGTTTTGCTCTTCTGCATCATCAGTTTACACGTTTCTATTTCAGTCCTGTTTGTGAAGGACGAGTTGTGTCCCCGTTGCTCTTATGTCCTTCCTTTGTTTTGTCTGTGTTCTAAGAAAGAACATCAGTTGTTTTTACTATGTTTCATTGACTGCACAATGCTCATATTCTTTCACTTTTGTGTTCACATCCCTCAGGCTGGGACAAGCACTCATATGGTTACCATGGAGACGACGGGCACTCCTTCTGCTCGTCTGGCACCGGGCAACCCTACGGACCCACGTTTACAACAGGGGATGTGATTGGCTGCTGCGTTAACCTCATCAACAACACCTGCTTTTACACAAAAAATGGCCACAGCCTAGGTATACAGCACAACTGAAAGCTGCTAGTCAGTTTACAGGCTAGGTAGCTCAGCTGAAGTACATTAGATGGCTTGTAAATATATGTGAAAATGTCAGTTTAGATACTGAACACCATTAATGCGATGCTGTCTGCCCACAGCTTACAAGCAAGTTTCTCCTGTTGCCTGTTGAAACCTGCTGGCTGCTGTCAGTCAAACACTGACATTTCCTTCCATCCAACTAAGATGAAAACCTGCATCTCTGATATTTCGCCAAAGACCTTTCCCCCCTTTTTATTAATAAGAACGGTTAACAATACATATAAAAACTTGGTTTAATTTTTCAAAGCAATGAGTAAATGTGATTTTAGTTGGTCTTTAAATGTGTCATGCTTTTAAGGTGCCAACACAACATATGTTTCAGACAATAATGGAACCAGGGACTGTCATGCTCACAAGAAGCCCTGTTACTAGGAAAAAAATTGTCTCCATAGGAAATCCAAAAGTTTGTTTACATGCACCACAGTAACGTTGCTGCTCCCCGGCACATTTCCTCCTTGTTCCCTACCATGCCATTTTTATTTACTGGTCAAGTGTGTTTAAGTGTTATAAACAACTTGGTGTTCAGCTGCAGAAACTGATGTATTTACACTCTTAATTTAGTTTCAGTACTGGATTGAATTATTTTGGATATAGCCACAATGTTCAGAGTCAACAGCTTTTCTTTCGTTCCTCTACTTTGTACAACATTTACCTGTTGCCTGGGTACTGTTTCTGCCTATCTACCTCACTGTCTTTCTTATTTACACGAAATTAACGAAAGCAGGTTCCTGCAAAAAGATGATTGTAACCAGATCACTTCAGTGGATGTAAACACACAGACTGAGGCCTCTTTGTGTGGGTAGAAATTTGTTTTCCTCTCCTTCACATTGACATTGTTTTTTTGTTTTCTTTTCAGGTATTGCCTTCACAGACCTTCCAGTAAGTACTAACATTTTGTTCACCCCTGTGTTGTAAAGCAATCTTCCATTATGAGTCAGGTTGGGTCTGGACTTGATTTAGAGATAAATGAGAGTCTGCTCCTGTCCTGAACTTGGCACATGTGGCTTTGCAAATCTGAAACTGTGCAGGACTTGGGGACATGTGGCTGCTTATAGAAATGAAATGCTTCATTTTCTTCAGTGTCTGCTGAAGTCAGAATGTTTGCACTGTGCAAAATGTATTGAGGACTGGAAAAAAATGTGAACTTGTGATGTTGATGAGAGAGAATTGGGATTCCCTTGGGCCGATGATAACTGAGAGAACAAGTCTGGACATATTTCTCACTGACACCTGAATTAAGACATTATAAAGTGTTAAAAGAAATAAAATCACACAATTTGAGGTGTTGGGTTCAACATGCAATGGAAGATGTTATTGCATGTTGTACATGAACTACTAACAACATTTTGTTGTACAGCCAGTATCCTGTCGACTTCTCTGAAATATATGAACTTTAAAGCTGCTTGTTTTTGTGTCAGTTGTGTAGTGACAGTCTGTTCTTTGGTGATGGCCAGTCATAAACAGGCAGGTTTTATCAGTGTTTAACCATCATTTTCATTTTGAAAATGTAAAATAAATTCTGTGTACCACTGTTGGGTTGCTGTAACTCAGTTGTCATGGATCTGACACGGTATACTATTTATATAAAAATATATGTATTTATCGGAAAACTATATGAAATAGTTTGTTACATACAGCAATTTAGAAAAGTATAAAACCTGTGAAACCGGTATAGTTTCTGTTGAAGATGCATTAATCAGTGGTTATATATTAACAATGACTGTATATGAAAAAGGTCCTTTGTAATGACCAACTCTCCCAGCTTATGGAGTTTATAACGTCTTTCAGCTTGTCGCTGTCGATCTAGTACCAAATAGTAGACTGAGTTCGTGGCTAGCTGGTGAACATGGTGGGGCATTTAGCAGCTGAATAGTCGGGTATCTTTCTCAGGGATTTGTGGAGACTGAAAACGGAGCAGAAAGACTGTTTAATACAACCTTTAATAACCCTGTTGCTTTGTGCTGTCGTCGGCTCTTATGCTTCATTATTTAAACAACTCCCACGCCACATGGACATTAATTCTAATGAGATTCGTGCATGCATTAACCACATGGAAATGTGAGAGAGACACTTGCCCCCTTCTTGCTTGGTAGAAAATGAGAATAGAGCAAATTTTGAGGTAAAAGAAAGTAAGGGTCTTAGCTGCAACAATAATCCATTGAGCAGCGAAACAGGCGTGGCTGTGAGCCAGACATTCATGTTCCTCAAGAGCTGTGCAGTGCGTCACCTCAGCACGGCTGACCTTTGTGGTTACTGGGCCATGACAAAGGCAGCTCTAAGAGACACACACCACACACACACACACACCTGTGTACTGCTGTTTGTGTGGGTGCTTTAGTTGACTAATTTATTCCCTAACCCTTAACCTACTCCTGACTCTAATTTAAATTGGCTCCAGAAATAAGTGGAGTCCTGGTTTCTTTTTGGAAAGCAGTCCTAACTCTGATCTACAGCTTTTTTGTTACTGCATTGTGAAACATGAGGATTTGAAGCATCAGGGCACTTTTGTCAGCCCAAGAACAATCTCTCACACAGACATTGTGGTGGATGCATGTTGTCAGTCGCTACTTCCTCTGATCAAATCAAGGCTGTAATTTGGTTGGTAGGGCAGTAGAACCGTGTACCCATACAAGGCACATTTCTGTTTATATCATCATCTTGTCATCAGAGATACAAAGCAAGCAGAATGACTGTTCCAAAAAACAAGAATTTGGCATCTACTTAACCCTTTGGTATTGGCATGCCGCATGTCAACAGCTCAGCTCGGCAAATGCTTAAACAGGTCCCCCCCCCCAAATGGATTTTCAAATATGTCACTTGCTAAATTTTGTCAGGAGGTTTTTCTGTGATATTTGAGTGCTGACAGTCAATGCTTTGTCTCACGGATGTTAAAGTTTTGGCCTTGCTGGTGTCAGGTCCTGCTGCAGCGTTAGTACTGTTGAGCCTTGCTGCTGCTGTTCAGCTCATCTTTGTTTGGATTTTCCCCAGTTATGGTCTTTAAAGGATGAGGCTGGTGATGTTTTGTGTTTTTTTATTTTTTATTATTATTTTATTTTTATTCAATAAATAAATTACATGAAAAGGCCACAGCCAAGAATGAATTGATCATACTAGTTAGTATTGTCTGAGTATCCAAAGGCTAATAAATCTTATTCTTCTGTGCTACTGAGCTTCACTGTTGTCTAGAAACTACTGAGCCACATTGTGTCACTGGATCACACGTTCTTTTATTACTGGGGACACACACAGGTTTATATTGACTGGACCACACTTCCATGTTCTTGGATGAGATTGACGCAGCTCTACAGGTTGTAAGTCAGTGTAGAGAAATAACCAATCTTAAATAGCCATATTTATGTGGTTGACAGGAAAAATGATGCTTCAAGCAATCTTTAACTGCTTCTGTATTGACTGAAGATGACACAGACCGGACAGATACATTAAACAGTCCTTAAGGGTTAGGGTGACACAGTGTGAGACTAAATAAAGTGGAAAAAACTGGCAGTTTACTGAGATGTTTAAGCTAATTTACTCCATCCTTGTGCCAGGGATATGTTGGAGCACCACATGTGCATTAATCTGCAGTTTGGGGAATTTACTGAGCCTTGTTAATAAGACAAATATGGAATAAAGTCAGCCTTATTCTCTAAATAACATATTCTCTGCTTTTATTAGGGAGGGTATAGTGATTGCAAACTCCACAGAACAGTAGACTGGCAAGTTGCAGGCCAGAAAGTGATTCAGAAATCTCAGCACCTGGCAGTATAATCACAGAGTCATTAGTTCTGCTGAACATGTCAGTACATAGATCAGCTCGATATATGGTTGCAGTCGGCCTGTCCAGTACAGATTGTACTTATTGCTCCTTTAATGTCTAAGACCTTTTGAACCTTGGCCTCCTTTTTAAATGATGGCCTGCCAACCTGCTACCACAGTTTTACTCTGTATTCTTTGTCAGCTAGTAAAGGTTTTAGGGGCTAATTGTAGATATTTCCTGGGTTTTTTAGTTTCCCTGTTTTTCCATGCATTGTTTCCTGTTTCTTGTTTTGATTTATTGTCCAGATTATGCTCCAAAACTCCCTCTTCTCTGTCATCCTAATCTTTAACCCTCTCTGCTGCAGCCTAACTTGTACCCGACTGTGGGCCTTCAGACTCCAGGGGAGGTGGTGGACGCAAACTTTGGCCAGCACCCCTTCGTGTTCGACATTGAGGATTATATGCGTGAGTGGAGGACAAAGATCCAGGCCCAGATTGACCGCTTTCCTATTGGAGAGCGCGAGGGCGAGTGGCAGTCCATGATCCAGAAGTAAGGGGATTAGAAAGCTGAATTATTCCCGTGTAAACTTTTATGATGTGTCTGCGTTTGTATTATGGTTTAGATGAATTGGGCCTTGTATTTTTGTGGTAGCACAATAACCAGTGCAAGCAGTGCTCTGAAATTAGCTTGTGCATCTGTGCGGTACTTTGCTGCCAAATGCAGAGTGCACATTGCACGGGTGGGAGAAGAGGCGCAAACATTCATTCAAATGTGTCACTGTGAAAGGAATTGATGGTAAACAAGGTCCCTGAGATTTTGTGCTGAGAATAGACATCTCACAATCAAATATGTCATTGGCGCAGCATTAGAAATGTTCAGTGATGACGGGATAATACATAAAATGTAAATAGTTATCCTGATTGATGGAAATAATAGACTTCAAAGTTCATTCTTGAACTTGAAAACAGCAGTTTACAAAACAGTCTCATCTCCAGGCCCATGTAGTAGCTGTTCAGACCAAGCTTGCAAGATCCAGGTTCTGATAAACCAAAATAACCATTGAATTGATAGGATTTGGTTGTGATGCCAATAAAACAAATCACATTTGCCCTGCAACCAAAACTATATTCAAAGTTACCACAGTGATTTCCTGTTCGGAATCTGTGTTGGACAGTTTTTATCGATTCTGCACAGGAAGTTCTTGGTTAAATATTGTTTCTGCTTGTTCTAGTTAGACCTGGATCAACAAATCATTATATACTGATTGTTTGGTTTGCAGGTTTTTAGTTTTGCTTTCTAAAATAGCAAACAAATCTGTTTCTTGTGATGTGAATGGAAAACCACAAAAATACTTTCAAACTCAAATCTCTACAAGATATCTACAAGTGGTTGACATTTCTTTCCAATCAGATGATCTTATGTTAATGCATAATAAGAGCACATCAGTTAACTGTGCTCCCTCTTTGTTATATTTTCTGACAAAGGTATTAGTTGTTTTGGCTGAGAGGTGTGTGAGACCAGGTGGATGAAGAGAAGCTCTTATCTGTTAGTGTCTGTGTGATTTCTACTGTTGCTGTTGAATCACTCGGGGTGTTCTGGTTTTCCTCCTCTTCAGGATGGTGGCTTCATACCTGGTGCACCACAGCTATTGTGCCACAGCTGAAGCCTTTGCCAAATCCACCGACCAGGCCGTGCACGAGGAGCTGGCCTCCATCAAAAATCGACAGAGTGAGTCCTTCTGTGTCATGTTTTTAAAGGATGCTGCTACCACACTCAAAATGGTTAGAACTTCCGTAATATTTTAAATCTGATCCTGAAAGTCATGTGTAACAATGGGTATGCCTGAATCCCTTTATTTGTTCATTCATTGTGGCCTGGAAATGCTCCCAGTTCTCCTCCTTGAGGGTCAGAGCTCTTATTTCTGCCATTGACTTGGAGCAGCAGAGGGAAGACATTGATTTTACCTGCACATTTAGGAAGAAGATTTTACACTGGAAACTACATTGGCGATTTTAAGTGGTAATCTGTGATGTTTATGTCTCAAACTGTCACAAATCTATGCTACACACTAATTCTAAGCCAGGTTTGAGTAAGTCCCATGTTCTTACCAGAAAGGTGACCAGATATACCCAAACAAGCAGTGTGCACTCTGTAAGCTTTAGTTTTCAGAGACAGGAATTGCAGTTTGATTGCCTTCGCATGGAACATGTATTATCTCATTTCCTGTCGGCATAAAACAACAGTGACTGCTGTTTTGTAATGTACTAATTGCAAATAATGGTGTACTGTAAAGACGGTAGTACAGCGCCTACTGTATGCAGGTAGTCTGGAATTAGAGCACAGCTTCTTTCTTTCTACCTGTAACAAACAGAAAGTGGCTTGTTCATTATGAGCTGCAACTACTTTCATAAAATGCTCAATTAAAATGTAATTAAAACTCTAGAACTAGGAAGTATTATCTCTTGTAAACCTGTTCATTGCTGGTTTGCAGAGATCCAGAAGCTTGTGTTGTCAGGTAGAATGGGCGAGGCCATCGAGACTACCCAGCAGCTCTACCCCAACCTCCTGGAGAGGAACCCAGACCTTCTCTTCATGCTCAAGTAAGACCAAGGCTGCATTTGAAGGTTTTCTCACACACCAGCCCCTTTTACACAGCCCATTCGATGCGGGAATTTTCCACTTTGCTGTTCTGGGTAAAAGGTACAGTCCCAGAATGAGGGGTTGAATTTGACCCTCCAAGTGCTGCAACGAGAGGTCGTGTATGTTTGTAGTGTAGTGTTGCCATCAGACAGACGTGCAGACCTGAAACTGAATGCATATATAGTAGGCTACAGAAATTCCCGATTTCCATTTATAAATCCATCAAACTAAATCAGATAATGACCCGTTTGTTTCATTTTTAAATTGGCCATGAAGTACACATACTGTCTGACGTCATGATCAGCATCACGCCTCTAGTACCAGGATTCCAGCAGCTGTGTAAAAGGAACAAAAACGCAGAATTTTGTGTAAGCTCTGTGTAAATGGGCTTAAATCAAAAAAGCTGCCTTGGCAGGTCAAAACGCTGGCGGTTTTCTGTGATCTCTGTGTAAAAGGGGCTCCTGTCTCTGTGTGATGGCTTTATTGAACTTAATAAATGTGCCATGGTACTGATTGTGTTATTTTATGTTCAAAGAAGAATAGGGATTTTTTTTTTTCCGGCTTTATTTTGAAAAGAGCTGTTTGCCTCAGATTTGACAGAGAGCTTATAGCTGTGAAATGTATACTGTTTAATTTTGTAAAGGGGCTTTAAGTCAGAAGAATCTGACTTTGTTACAGAGCATCTTTTGAAAAAAGCTCATAATTTAAACCACTAATGGAAGAGGTTTACTGAAAACGATGCGTATACTGATCAACGCTGTTTGTTTCTCCCTGTCTCTCTAACTTGAGCCATTACTCTTTCATGTCATGATTTTCTTCCTTCCTCTCTTTTCTGTTGTTTTCATCTGGTGTTTGTTTGCTTTATGTTTATTTTTGCATAACATCTCTGTTGAATTTTATCTATATTGCTTTCTTTGCATTATCTCTATCTTGCCTTTTTTCCCCTTTTTAATCTTTCCTTCCTTTGCTCTGGTCTCTGTTTTCTTCCTATTGCTTTTTCCCTCTCTCCCTCCCTCCATCTGCAGAGTAAGACAGTTCATAGAGATGGTGAATGGGACGGACAGTGAGGTGAGGTGTCTGGGAGGTCGCAGCCCAAAGTCTCAGGACAGTTACCCTGGCTCCCCCCGGCCCTTCAGCAGTCCCAGCCACAAAGCCAGCAGCTCCCAGCCCTACCTCACAGGTACAGTCCAGCTGTGGTCAATACATTCACATCTGAAGATTAGAACAGCTCTCGAGTCCACCCCAGTACAAATCCTGTTCGATTTTACAGCTGGTAACCAGAATCACCGTGTTACAGCCTCAGTATCTGTTGGGAAACGTCCAGGGTGACGTCCAGGTTTTGGCATATGTACAGACTAACATCTTGCTTTACTGAAACGGCATCTGGATCTACAGCTGTGAAGGCATTTGACATTTATTCTTAGGTAGCCTTTAAAAGCAAAGTTAATGTCAGTGACACACCAGTCTTCAACTGTAAGTTGCAACAAAACTACAGCATATGGTTTTTTGTGATTCTAGATGTTTTGGCATCATTTTAATTATCATGTGGAACCATGTGTTTAAACACGTCAGTTCACCAGAGGACTGAGTTTATCATCAGTCTGACAAGTTCTGCCTTTGTTGCTTAGAGAGAAAAAGTAGCACCTTTTCAAGTGGACGCTGAGAAACAATTCTCACATGCCATCATGTTCAGGTTAACAAGACTCATCAGTATTGGCAGAGCCTTATCTGTATTTGTTTTAAGAAAAGTCCATATTTCACTGTTTGTTGTTTTTAGGGTTTGACAGCAACTGCTGTAATGGTGTGACATCCAGCAAGAGCCACAGCTCCTCCCCCCACAGTCACAAGCCCTGCCCTCCAGGCTCTGGCTCCACCCTCCCAGTGTCTGACATCAGCCTCAATGGCAGCCGCAATCAACAGCTCATAACCAGGTACTGAGAAAACCCACGAGCTCAAACTGCATTTCATTTCATTTGCCAATAGAGCTGCGTTTATGTCTATCATGGTGATGATTAGCATCTGTAGAACTCTATACTGGTGTGTGGACATTATCAGGACATAGTGTGTCCTCATCACACTTACATTCTTCACTGACTTTGTTCCATAGAGCAGTGATTGTGTTGAGGAGTAGGTGTGAATTGGATAATCTAGACGTACAAAAACTGGGTCTGTGGTACCAACCACTCCTGTGGTGTTCCAGTTCTTGTAGGTTAATATACAGTATAAACGTACACTGACACTAAACCAGAATACTTAAGGGAGGAGGGTCTTTTCATTGCCCGCCATGGTCTCCGCAAAGAGGTTCACTGTGTCTGTACCATGCTACTTGCGTTGTGCTCATGTTTATTCCTCCTCCTGCTGTTGTCTTGTCCTTTGTGCCCCATGGCAGGCTCATATCAGATAAAACCTGCCTTCTTGATGTTTACCAGCTGCTCAATAAGACAATTAATTCATTTAACTAAAGAGGAATTCTTTATCACATTGTTTGTCATTGTTAAGTACATTGTCTGCTTTAGATTTACTCCTGTCAAAGATGATGTATAAAGAACAGCAAATGTTTGTCTCCAGCGGTTTAACATATCCACCTTGTCACAGTGATGTAGTCATGTACTGCAGGGTGTGTCAGTACACAGAGACATGACTGTGGGGTGCTGGGTTTTACTGCTTCAAAATAACCTCCCCTCATTCTTGCGTAAATAAATAGTTAACAGGCCAGAGAACTCATATATGCAACATTTAGCTCCATGATACTTTTTATTACACCAGTCACATGTGCTCTTGTCAGCAATTCTTAGAGGTCTGACCTTGGAAATTAGCACTGTATTGAAAATCAAATGAATCAGTGGTGAATCAAGTTCAATCCAAATTAAATTCAGCATAAAAGTGAATCATTTCTACTGCACACAGTTGACACAGCTAGGTAGTCATGTTATAAATGCTGCCAGCTGTTCTCAGGAGTTGTTTCCAAGAGGTATGGCACTCCAGCATGTTTGCTTTAAGCCATTTCATAGCAGATCATTTTCAGCATTTAATTTGATGTTACAAAATCAACATTCGAGACTGAGGAGGAATTACTTGATAGGTAGTGACTGTTTCTGTCTGTTTCCTCAGTAATGACATGGATATGGAGATTGACCACTTCACCAATGGAGTGACGGAATCATCCTCAAATGGTTTCCTCAATGGCAGCTCTAAATACACCACCGAGCCCGATGACTGTGACGCAGACATGGGTGAGTAGAGTGAACATGTGTATGCTGACATGTTGGTGACTCCACATATCAGCATCACTGTATCCCTGGTTGCCTTTGACTGTATTTGCATGATGGATTCTAAGGCTGTCTGTTCCAGCTGCCTCTTTGGCAGGAGTCCTTTTCTAACACTCAGCTGGCTGTAAGAATTCTGAGATCAGCCAGTGGTGAGCAACCAGTCTTTCTGCCCTGCTTTTCCTCTTTAATAAAAGACAGATTTATGCTCTGTGTGTAAATGTACTGTTGTGAACACTGTGGTTATCAAAGTTCAGGGGCTAATCCCACTCTTGCTGTCAGTGTAACTGCTCTAGCTAAATGCCTGTAAAGTAAAAGTAACATCACATTCATCCTGCATTAAAAATGCCCACTTTGCCTGTGGTGGTGGTTCTGCAGAGGTGGAGTCGACTCAGTCCAAGAGGCAGCTGTGCGGCGGGAGCCAGGCGGCCATCGAGAGAATGATCTACTTCGGCAGGGAGCTCCAGAGCATGAGCGAACGCCTCCGCCGCGAGTGTGGCAAGAACTCAGCCAACAAGAAGATGCTCAAGGTGACACAGTAACCACTACTCATCATGTACTTGTTCCTGTGTAAACATAGTGTTAAATTGTACTGTATTTAGTGTAAGAAAATGGGGGTTCTGCTGCAATTCCACCATTCAGTAAAGGTGTACTGGCCCTTTTAAGTAGAGTAGGTACTTTATTGATCCCACAGTGGGGAAATTTCTGTGTTACAGCAGCAGCAATAGAGATCAACCAACATAACACCACCATAACAGACACATAAGAACAGAACTTCATAAAAACACGGAAAAGAACACAACAAGGACACAGCTGCTGTAACTTGCTGCCACTCCGCGCGGTGCATGCGTACGCAAGTACGTAATAACAAAGAACACTTGGTCTTAAAATAAAAACTTACATAAAGGCAACAAAGCATTAGAACCGATACACACAAGGATTATAAAAGTAGCGTCATCAGAACGTTACTTTTTACACAGCACAAATAAGCAAATCAAAGGCACCTAAAAACAGGGCAAAGCAGCACTGGAGAGAATCAGGAACAGCAGTAGAGACTAAAACAACAGGCATTAGCCTACAGTAGGTCCAGAGTTTTATTGCTCTTTGTGTGGAAGGGGGGAGTGGGGGAAGCATGGTTTAATGTCCTCGAGATGGGGATTTGGGCCTGCCGGTGTTGTCCGCCGCCGAGACACCGTGTTTTGCGTGCGCATGCACGTAGCAGCATAGCCAGCCTGGGGATTTGTGAAGAACACCACCCCGCATCCCCATGGAAAATCCCCGGCAGCTCACCAGAAGGAGCTCGGAAGGATTGCTGGCATTGCTGGCTGACTGTTGGCAAACAGGGTCCTCCCCAGTGTTAGGTAATTTCTTAGTTAGATAGATATTGATTAGAGATCTGTTGTATTAGAAGATGTTAGTGTAGCCAGGATGTCTTCCTCAGGCTGTTAAATGCAAGGTTAGTTAAAGCAGAGAAAGGCTGCAGTCAGGGATAAATGTTATTATGACGGTAAAAGTGACCATAATATTTGTCTTAATGTGTAATGTTATGTCAAATTGTTTTAGATACACACCACGAAAACAACAGCCACACACCTTGACTTTTCCTCATGTTTTGGCTAACGTTATAGCCAGCTGCAAAGAGAGATGTCTCGGTTGACGTTTCTGTGGAGGAGGGGGCGAGCCAACTAAGTGATGATATTGTATAGCAATTCTGGGTTCTGGGTCTTTTC